CCCCCTTGTACTAACAGCCCTGTATAGGGAGTATATTCTATGGGGTACTGCAATCCCATTAAGGACTGCTAGTGCAAGGGGGAACATCCCAAGTTTAGGGCATATTGGGAGAGTTTTGAACCATTGCGGAAAAAAAAACTTGTGTACTTTGAGCTGAAGCGCCGGTCCCGGAGATCTTGGAGCACGTGGCAGCCTCCTGTGCCCCCCAGAAGCCCAGGCTCCAAGAGTGACAGGGACACCCTCATGCTCGAAGGACTCTTATGTTTTTTGGGTTTCGACTCTCACACTGGCGCACGCATACGCTTGCGTTCTCTTTTGTTGGCTTGCGTGTCGCGCCTGCCTGTCCTGAAGTTGCGAGGCGAAAAAATGTCTCTCTCTCTCTCTCTCTCTCGCTTTTGTTCATTGTTTTTCCTTTCTCTTCTTCTTCTTCTTCTTCTTCTTCTTCTTCTTCTTCTTCTTCTTCAGGGCTTGAAGGGAGCGCGTGAGCACACCCTCCATGCACGAGGCGCGCCCGGTCCGTGATCCCGTCAGCGTGAGACATATATGCCCCTCCCAAGAGATCGCCCCTACCCCAGCGATGCAGTGAGAGTACAACCAAGATCGTCTCCCTGTATGGCCATGTGAAATTGCTCTCTCTCTCTCTCTCTCTCTCTCTCTTGCAGACTCGAAACCCCACATAAACCCCCAAAGGCGGAATGAACCCCAAAAGCCCTCAAGCTTCTGAACTCCCAAGAGCGGGCTCCCGTGAGTCGGTCTGGAGGCAGAAAGCCATCAGCACCCCACAGAAGTAGCCTCAGCAAGATTAGGGGCCTAGGGTTTAGGGGGTTTAGGGTTTAGGGTTGAGGTTTAGGAGAGTTGCTGGTTCAGTGGCTTAGGGCGTAGAGATTCGAAGTATTGGGGTTGTAGGGTTTGGAGTTTAGGGACTATGACGGGCCTGCATTAGAACCCGATACGGATTCTAAGAGGCTGTGTTGCAAGTGCTCCGAGTCTAGGGCTCTCAGGGCTAACCGTTCTATGTTTCGGGCTCTTGAGGCTTAAAGGCCCTAAGCCACCAGCACTCCCCAACTACCCTTTAGTGAAGGGGGCTTATTTACCCTATGAGTATGGTTCAAGGGTGGTTGGAGGGGTTCTGGTGATTGAGGGGCTGTTAGAACTGGAGGAGGGGTTGCTTATTTCTCCACAGATGGGGCTTCAGCAACCCCAGCAAAGGGTGTCCCTGGAGTCTAGGAGGGTGTCCCTGGAGTCTAGGAGGGTGAAGGCTTGGGGACCTCTCGCACTTGGTTTGGTTTGGGATGAAAAGCAAGCGGTTTCGGTTGCTGTCTTGAGCTCAGGCTAAACAACCCATCTCTCTAGAGCCACACAAATAAGACCCAGGGCCGGACATGTAGGATCGAAATGGTCAGTTCCCGGCCTACTCCCGGGTTTAGGGTTTAGGGTTTTTTTGCCACCCGACTAGTCACAGGGTAGATTCTTTCCCAGCAAGTAGAGGGCTTTAGGACGGCCTAGGTTTTTCACGCCTGGTTTGGCTTCGGGCGAGAAGCAGTGGACAAAGGACAGCGCAGGCACGTTGTCCTTGCCGAGCGGCGGAGGAGATTCTTCTGAACCATAAAGAAACTACAACGACTCCCCCGTAATGCTTCCACAAGCCCAAGACCATGATTCAGTCACATTCAGGGTGGGTGGGGAACCAAGTATAGAGTTCAGGGACCTTGAGGTCTTGTACTAGAACCCCTGAACCTCCCCCCCAAAAAAAACAAAAAACACCTTCATGCTTGCGCGAGTCCTCCAGGCTGATCAGCTTCCCAGGTGCCTTGGTGCATCAGCGCATGCCACTTTCCTGGGAACACAGACTCGCTTACGCGAACACCTCTCATACACCTCCCTAAGCCCCGCCTGTCCCCCAGAGGTCTTTAGAAGAGTTGATGTGCGACCCCGATCGGCTTGAGGGATTGGGGTGGGGTGAAGTTCAAGTTGGCTCCAAGATCAAGACCTCAGGTCAAGTTAAGTCCCTGGAGCCCCGAACCGTTTGCCCTGAAGCCTTCTCATTGCAGCAAAAACGCGGCGAAGGGCCAGATGACCACCCAGGCCACCACTCCCAAACAGGCCAGTCTTTGCGCAACACGGCCTTTGTCCCTCAGCGAAAGTTGTTGACTGCAGGCGTGCTTGGCTTCGCTTCTTTAGCCTTGAGGGTCTTGTTTAAGTAGCACGGCACTTTACTCAGGCGGAGTGGCTATCCAGCCCTGAAGCAAGAAGCCGAACTCCAGGTAACAGGCTCTCATCCCCCCAGGCCCTCTACCCAAAAACACCCGTCCAAGCCCCACGGGACAAGAGCACCACACACTTCAGGCAACACTAGCAGGAAGTTGGGATGTTCCCCTTCCACTAGCGGTCCTTAATAGGGATCATAATCGGGGGTACTAGAGTTACTAGAATCCCTATTCAACACTGCTAGTACAAGGGGGAACAAGACAAGCAGGAAGCTCAACCTAGAGATTCGAAGCCTACTGCTGGGGACGGGTCCAGGTCCACTTCCCCAGGCTGAAAAAGGCATTCTCCAGTAGCCAGCAGAAGGAGAGGGCGCTGAAGAAAAAGCCTGGACTTTGTCCGCAGGCTTCCCTAAACCTACAACTGGCTTAAGAACCCCCCAAAGCATAAATGAAATAAAAATACTCTGAAGCCATAAAGTCCCAAATACTGGAATTTCGGGGTGAGGGATGCTCAGGTCACTCGAGTTTCGGCAAAAAGCTCAAAAGCCTTCAGCCTCCCCCCGAGGCCCTTTAGGGTGCAACTCACGCGTCCTCACTTTTGAAGATAACCGTTTGAGCCCGGAACTGGGATCTGTGCCGGAGGTGTGAGTTCGACTCAGGACTGCGCCGAGCACTGGATAACCCGAAACACGTGGCCCCACTTCCCGAAAGCCCTTGGCCTGGGCCGTTCAGCCGGTGGAGAAAGCGCTGCCTCGGTCCGCGAAGTCTCCCCCCCCATGTGGTTTAAAAGGCTTCTGAGGCCACGAGGCTTCTGGGGTTTTAGGTGTCAAAGCTGGGGGTATCACGAACAGTCATCAAACACCCGGATGGGTAACACATGGCAAACCACCCCCTGTGGTTGGCAAGACCTGTATTTCCTGAACGTCTCCCTCAATCCCCCACTTCCCCAAGTCTCCCAGCGGCCCTCAAACTCTAAACCTAATATCCTGTTTGGGGACCAAGTGAACCCCAAAATTGCGGTCTTTCACCTTCTTCTGCCCTACCACTGCAATTTCGATATTAAGGCCTATAAAAACTCTAAACCCTTTCAGGGTTCATTTTGGTCCCAAATATCCTGTGAAAATTCCGGGAGGGGCGGCTGCTGAACCCAAGCCACGGGAGGAAGGACTGCAGCATCAGGGCCTCGAAGAGCAGATCCACTGGCCGCAGGGGCTCCTTGGATCTGTTGCCCGAAATTGGAGGGGAGGGGGGGTTGGGGTGGAGGGGGGTTTAGGGTTTAGGGCTTCGGTTTTTTTTTTTCGTTGGGGGGGGGTCGTTGGTGTTCTTCTTGTGTCGCCCGCCTAGTTCCAGAACTCGCTTCGGGTTCGGTATGGCGCTGGCCACTGAGGTTAATTTTGCTATGCCACTCCTCGTAGCAGCGCCCTTGTTAGCTGCTGAAGGATGGGGATGGGAGCACGGCCCTCAACAATCAAGCACGTCAAAATGTCAAGACAACACTCTGCACCAAGTCATGTCTAGTCTCCCGCTGCAAGGTCAGAGCATTGACCAGAGACCAGCCCAGCGCGAGCCTCAGTTCAGGGAGAAGCAAGAGCCCTGTTCCAGACTGAAGCTCCGACGCGCATGCAGACCTACTGCTCATTTCTGCATAGAAGCTCCCAGCTTCTGCAGGCCTATCTTTACATCTGAAATCCGGGTAAGTTCACCGACTTGCAGAGGGCCTGCCGTGCCTGTAACCTGAACCTGCAGCCGAGCAGCATGTACAAAGGGTACCTCATGGCACCAGCATTCACCCGTCACGGAGTTTTGAGGTCAGCGCGTGGCCCGACAAAACTTTCTTACACTGCTCTTTAAAGTCTCACACCTTTAGGCCCCAAACCCCCGGATTCTGTCCCTCCTTCAGGGCGTTTCTGGATATTTAGGGTCTTAGCATGAGGGATCCAAAAACAGGGCTTCAATGCTTCTCAGCTGTAGGGCTGCCAAGCCCATGACATGTGCTGCCAAGGCGCACAATCGCCAGGTGTCGCTGGAGGCTTTGCCTACTTGGCAGCCTTGTCTCCGGACGCTTCAAGGTTCGCAGATGTTTTTAAATCTTGTGTTGCTACATTCGAGCGTTTTCCCGTGGAACTTGTTTTTTTGTTCGCAGGTTCCTCTTCTGCAACCCCTTCTGGGATTTTTTAAACTTAAAACGTAGGTTTGGGGGTGTTAAGGTAAATGTCTAAAGCCTAGGGTTCAGGGTCTTAAGAACCAAAGGTTGCTAGCTAGGGGCTCCTTACGCTCCCGAGGAAGAACGGTCCCCATTTCCCAAAGCCCTGAGATCCCAAGTGCTGGCAAAGTAAGGCTTGAGATGTAGGCTTTGCCGGTGTTCAGAAGGTCCCTCCAGGCTTGGGATCTGGGCAAGTCTTGGCAAATTTCGATGCCAAAACAAGCCACCAACAGAGCTCGGCTAGCCCCCCCACTATCTGCCATGACAATGCCATGGAATTCGCCTAGGCAGTTCTCTCAATGACCCCTTTTCGGTAACTTCTGAAGGCCTGTGTCATGACGGGGCCCCAAAAGCATGGATGATTTTGAGAACTGCCCACAATCACATGATGCCAAGTGCAGCATTCAACCCGAACTGATGTAAGCCTCTGCGACAATTGAACCCTAAACCTGTGATGCTCTTGAGTATTAACAGATCACTGTTAAGTCGTAGCTGTATAGAACTCAGAAAGCCTAGCTATTCGAGCTACATACGGGTCGTGAAAGCCTCAGGCAAAGCACTAAACCCAAGCTCCTTGGTTCCAAGGTTGTTCAGGGGATCTGCCGGCCAGGATGCAATGCAGGCTGGGTGTTGCGCTGCAACTTGACATGTGCACTGCCGAGCCTCGGAAGCACGGTAGCATCGTGGGCTTAGGGCTCCGGGTTAATTAGGGGCACCCTTCAAACCCTTTCCGCATCTGGGCTCCCTCAGGGATGTAGCCAGAACCCCAAGCCCCAAGCCCCAAGCAGCCCCTCCAAACATATCATGCCGCCACGCAGCCCGGAGAGCAGAAAGAACAGCGAGAACCTGGGTTGTGTCACAACTCCTATCTTGGGCTAGGCTTGGGATGTTCCCCCTTTTTGAAACAGTCCTTAATATATGGGGATTATAATCTCGGGGTACTAAAATCCCGCTTAAGGGCTGTTGGTATAAGGGGGACATCCCTGCGTGAACGGAGGCATACGGAGGCCGCCAAGCTGCTACAAACAACACCCTCGAGAGCCCTCGGCAACGTTGAAGAAAACAAACCCCAAAAAACACAATGCTAAGCCCTAAGTACATACGTCATGCCTGAGATACCATGCATACCTTGGCCCCACATAGAACCCTCAAATCTTGACAGCCACAACCAGGCAAACTTCAAAAACACAAAGATTAAGCCCTACAAGCCATCAGCCCTAAGCGTGAGCCAGGGCGCCACGAGGCGCCCCAGGCGTTGAATCCCGCCCAGCTCACGGGGCCATAATTGTTGAAGACCTCTGGTTGCTCTACGTCGCGGGTTGGGTAGACCCAGGAACAAAGAAGGGTGCCCCTTTGGGTTCATTAAAGGGGTTTATGAGGGAACCCAAACCTTGAGAAAGGGAATAAGGGCCTACTCTGGGTCCTAGAGGGGTATAGGTCTCAGGGTTCAGGGGTCCATTTTGAGTCAATGATACGACTCCCACCACTCCCACCAGCGCTCCACCCCAAACCCCAAGCTGAAGACACCAAGTATCCTCAAAAACCCGAAAAGCTGAAACCCCAACTTTTCCTGAGTACCAAACCCAAAACGCCAAAAGCCAAACCCCTACACTCCTGCAACCTGAACCCTACAGTAAACCCTGAACCCTGAACCCGAAGCTCTACGTCTACGTCGACACGAGGGCACGAGGTGAATGGCTCCCACCAAGCGCACCGGGGCCAACATGGCGAGATCCTTTTGCATGGGCTGAGTTTGGGATGTTCCCCTGATACTAACAGTCCTGAATAGGATAGTAGTGCCCCCTTAAGGGGGAACATCCCAAGGTTTAGTCTTTGTTTCTCGCCAGTATGCTTTTTGCACACGCATAGCTGGACGAACTGCTCCGCAGGGATTCCAAGAAGGCACGGGATGTCTTAAGAAATAAAAGGGGGGTGTGCCGGTTTAGGGTGGAGGGCTTAGGCTTTATAGGGTTCAGGGTTTATAAAGTGTAGGGTGCAGCTCCGTCTCGCGGGGGCATAAGTGCCATAAGTGCCGAGGGGTGCGAGAGCGCAGTACAGAATCGTTATAAAGACGATGGTTTCTGACATGAGCTTTTCAGGCTTCGGGAGTTTGTGGGACGGTTGGGGACTGCTCAAATGGGCCTTCGGATTTGGGATCTGCGTTTGCAGTGTCTCTCTCTTGCTGGAAGAAGGGTGCAAAAAGATCACCATTCCAGGCATGGCCAGAGTCGCCCCTAAACCCTCAACCCTAAACCCTAAACCCGAAAGATTCTCATCATTATATCCTTGTCAATAAGGCACCCATGCCGAAGTAGGCTTCGACCAGGCTAGACTTCTTAGCAGCTACAGCCGCTCTCAGAACACAAAAGCCCTTTTGCCACAGCACAGGGCTCTTTGGGGTATAGCGTTTTGGGTTTTTAATCGCTCGGGTTGAGGGTTTAGGTTTTAGTCGCTCACCTGTCTTGCCATGGGGTTTAGGGTTCAGGGTTTAACTGCAAACCGAAAAGTAGTGACTCTCGGCTGGCAGGTCCCATAGGCGATAGTCTTTATTGTCACATTGGCCTGTGTACACAGATGCCAGCACCGAGGTGAATGTACTTTAGTGAGGCCGATCTTCATTCCGCCCTCAACCGAGTATGGGCAGAAGTACGCAGCAAAGATGAACTTTGTTCCTCGCCCTCCGCCCAGCCTTGTCGGCCGCCCCGGGATGAAGGTCAGGGTTCCTGAGCATTTGCATTTAGGGCGTAGGGGTAATTACAGAATGTGTTTGTAGTTTGAGAGTTGAGACCTCCAAGAAGTTTGTGCGGCTCTGACGGCTTAAAAAAGGTCCAGCCTTCGTTTAACAGCCGGTCGGAGAGGACTAAATATCTTTCTAACTAGCCTACTCGCAAATCCAATACTCTAGTGAACATGAGAAGAACACAACACAGTATAATTGCTAGTTCAGATGCCGAAGTACAAATAAATGCCTTTTCAAGAAGTACATATACACATCGAAATAAAACAAGGAACATATACGAAAGGCTCCTTGTGTAGCCAGATTGAGGGCCAGGGAGGCATGCAGCCAAGAGCCAGTAGTGAAGCCTTAACAAATAAGATGGAAGACAGAGATTCCTGCACAAGAAAAAAGCTGAAGTCTGGGCTCTACGGGCTCTGCTGTGTAAGAAGCCCAACAAAAACCTGAAACCTTCGACGCTCTTGAATTCTCAAACTCCAAATGCTCCCAAAACAGGGATTCTTGTGGTTTGACACCTCACACACTTGTGAAGCTAGCAGCGCCGTGCACCCTGTAGGCGCGGTGACTTGAGGTTTCGGACGGCCTCTCTGAAGCCTGAAGCACTGAAGCCCCAAACTCCTATAAGCCCTGCTTCAGGCACGGCGAATTTGCAAGCAGATTCATTACAGTTGCGGGCAGGAGGCACGGAGGTCTCTGACCCTTGGCTGCGGGAGTCCTCGGAGAGGGGCTTGGGGGGGCGAACCATCCCTCGACCAACCCTAGTTTAGGTGCTATAAACCCCCTCTTTTTTGAAGCGTGGACGGAGCCTACAACCCTAAACCCCAGGTCTAAACCCTCTCCCCGCCGGGCGGCCAAGAAGAAGCTCATGGCGTGAGCGAGAAATCGGCCGATACCTCCCACAGTTGTCTCGGGTTTAGGGTTTAGTTAGGGTTTAGGGTTTACTTAACGTTTGGGGTTTAATTGGGGTTTCATCACTTTTTGTTTTTTGCCTTTTTTTCCTTTTGTGCTGCTCCTAGCATCAGGTTAAGACATGAAGTAACTCATGACCATGACCGGGGGTTAGATGACAGCCGCTTGTCTCCCACCTTTACGTATACATGCCAAGCAATGGCGGCCGAAGGCTGGCTTAACAACAGACAAAGCCGGCTAGCAAACAGAAGAATATGTTGAAAGAGCATGGTCCAATAGGTTATTAACCCATGGCGGTTTGGTGTGAATGGAACCCTAACCCCCCGAAATCCTCCCCAAATTGAATGCCCACCCCACCTTCTACCATCGCGCAGAGCAAGCACATCAGAAGTAACATGACCTGAGGGTCGGAGCATGAGGGGCGGCGAGAAGGTTGGGGACTTAGTGGCCCGTGCCCAGCAAAACTCTACAACCTGCTTCTCTCCCTCCCTCTCTCCTGCTCGTCCTGCACCCTATGACTTTATGAACAGTCTAAGCGACCCCGGAGCTCTGAGCCTCTAGGGTTCGACCTTGGACCCCCTTTAGGGGTATAACCTTAGTACGAGTTGAAAGCACTGAACTCTGCACCCGAAAGACCCACCCTGAGCCATTTCCTCTGGTTCCCTTCTCAGCGGAGACGCGAAGACCATCATCTGCGGGGAGGTCTCCACGCCTCGCATCGAAGGAGACACCGAGGGGTCAGATGGCGCAAGAAGTAGAACCCCATAGGGTTTAAGGCTTAAAGGTTGGGTTTAGGGAGGAGGTCCCCGAAAGGGCTTTCGCACATGTCTACCCAATCGGTCATGGCGCTCGGACTGGTTCCTGTCATGACTTGGAGAACATCTTGTCGTGTCCGGCCTTAATGACTTCCCAGGTGAGCGTAGATACTGACAAGTACTGACATGAGCCCTGCAGCCGCTCCCACTCCCCTTGTGCGAACCACCTACCCCCAACTCCACCTTAAACAACCAGCCAAGCACTGCGAACGACCCTGGACATCAGCCTCGAAACCCTAGAACCTAGGTGAGGCCCATCCAGCCCAAACGCTGGGGCGAACCTCAAACACTCCTTTTTGAAACACGTGCTGAGCCACACCCTCACAGACTTCCTAGTCTATCTGAATACGCCCGACTCGCTCCACCTCAAAAAAGGTTTTCAGCTAGAGGTTGCGAGCAGGCCCCACTGAGCCCCACTGAGCTCCACTGGTCAGTTAAAGCAGAGCTTAGGTTCTCCAAATGCGATGATTGTTGCTACAAATCATGCTGGAAACTCCCGACATGTAAAGCTCAACCAACCGTTGGCTCAGTGTGTACCGGCTACCAGAGAGCCAATACATTCTTCTCGCCTCGGTCGGGGAAGGTCGCGGGGCCGACATCCTCCTGACGGTTCTTTTGAAGGATTGTCGCAGGCGCGGCTTCTGAAGAGGGGCTATAGTGCTATTGCTCCAGCTAGTGGTCGCGCAGTTGCTATTCTCCTGTTTATCGTTGCTGGCGTTGCTATCTCCTCTTGACTGATGGCGTTGTTGTCGGGTTGGAAGGTTTTGGGCTCTCCCCGCCCCCTCTCCCCCTCACTTTCGAAGGTTGTTGGGTTTATTGTGGGGCCTTTTGCCTCCAGGCCTGTCTCCCCTCAGACCCAAGACCACAAAACCAAATCAGGGCTTAGTGGAAATGAGGGGCGGGTGCCCTGAGGAGTTCTCCCTGCAATGGGACGGAGCATTGAAAGCTGCTCTTACAGGTCTGTGAGTGATGAGTGAAGCCTGTGGGCTAGGATATGACAGCGCGTGGTGTGGATGGGTCAAAAACGAGGCCTATGTCATCAGAATAGGCATTCTCTGGCTAGCTTAGAGTACGTTCATTCCATAGCGGTGAAGAAAGGGGCACAAGTTGCATCTACTGCTGCTCCTGTCTTGCGGGCTGGATTTGGGGGGGGGGGGGGTACAAGAGACGGCAGCGGTCGCCTTGAGGGGCGACAGGGGCGCCTGCCAGGGACAGGTGGTTCTCGGCAGTTCTTCCGGTTTAAGGCCTTCGGCTCTTTCTTCGGGGGTTAGGGTTTTTTGGGCTCAGGGGTATATAGACCCCGCTCGTTCCCTTTTTGTTTGAAACCCTGAGCCCGAGGCCCCACAACACCTCAGACTTTCAAGCTTAAGAACTCACAACCCCAGAAGGCCCTAAAACTCTCAAGCTTCTTACGAACTCTTGTCTGAGGGCTTCTGGGACAGTGCTTCGCCGATTTCGTGTCTTTGGAGCAGGTTTAGGGTTGCCGGTGTAGGTTTTGTAGGTTTTACGGTTTTGACCGACCTGTGAGCATGAAGGGCGCAGGGTTTGCGAACAGGGTTTAGGGTTGAAGGCCACAAGCCGGCGCGCGAACCCCAAACTTCAACTCATGTACAGCTACCTCCCTGCGCCTGGATGTCAATTCTCTAAAAGTGCGGTCCACTTTTTTGGTACCCTGCATAGGAGTGGCAGCCTTACCATGAGGATATTTAGAGAAGTGACCCAATGCGCTCTTGCCTGGGCGGCCTGCGTCAGCGCACCCAGACGCTGCAGGAGGACCCGACCTCCGCAAAAGAAGCTTCATGGCTGTTATGAGGGGAGGCTCTTGGGGGTGGCGGGGCTTGTTCGGCGCTGTCTCTGTTTCTGAGCAACTGAGGGCAACTGCGATGGGGTTTGGGGCTAGGGGTTGTTTCCCTGCACCCTAGACCCAGGGTTGGGAACATCTTGGGAGCTTCGAGGTGGCTTGGAGGTCGGAGGCCGGATTTCGGTTCTTCTGTTTGGGGATTCGGTGGGTTGAACTTTTTGCTCTCTCTCTCTCTCTCTATGTGTGTGTGTGTGTGTGTGTGTGTGTGTGTCTGTGTCTGTGTCTGTGTCTGTGTCTGTGTCTGTGTCTGTGTCTGTGTCTGTGTCTGTGTCTGTGTCTGTGTCTGTGTCTGTGTCTGTGTCGGTGTCCGTGTCCGTGTCCGTGTCCGTGTCCGTGTCTGTGTCTGTGTGCCTGTCCAACTACACAGTGGTCTACTTCCCCAGCCATCCATATTTCCATCCATCATGCAGATGAGCACAACCAACGAAACAGTCAATATGAGTCCGTTCATTACGTATGTTATATTTTAAAGTTATCTGTATATGCATATACATATATATATATGGCAACCCCTCCCCGCCAAAAAAAAAAACCAAGAACGCCGAGCTGCAGTACGCCCAGACGCAACTGACAGCACGTTAATTAAGTACACATACATCTGTAAAAAAACACTCTGTTATGCATTGTATATGCTACATAAGTTTTGTTGATTTGCTCATGATGCATGGGGCAGTGGGAAGAGTGTAGGGTCAAAGTCAAGGCGCCATGCAGATCTGCGAATCTGCGTTTCTTCTTCGCAGATTTTGCAGCTTCTTGCCTCCCCCCCCCTTCCATGCCACAGATCAACTCAGATGGTAGCCTGAAGCAAATCTGCAAATTTCCAAGAGTTGAAATCTGCTTTTCCTCGAGAAAACGCAGATTCGCAGATTTGCCTCTCCATGTCACAGATCAACTCAGACGGTAGCCTGAAAAATCTGCTATGTCAATAGGGCCTTCATGTTTTAACTATTCAATTCGGGGAGGAGAACTAATTCTTGGGCGTGTCCACAACCTTCTTGGCTTCGACAAGGCATCATGCCATACATATGAGAGCATTACAAGAATATGGATGTACACAATCCTCATGACAGGAAAAACATAGCTGCACCAGCAGCCGAAGCCAAACAAAAGGGTCCTGGACCCCTCCCGCAAGGAGAATAAAATAATCAATGCAAGTTTAATCTGAGGGGTCCTTCAGATTTAAATAGTGGCCTGTTCATTTCTTTAATTCCCCCCAGAAGGAAGGAGCTTCCTCCCCTCAAGATTTAAATTATTCAAATTATTTAGTTCCCCCCCACCGAACTAAATTATTTTACTTCGAACATCCCCACCCTCTCTTGGTAGAGATACTCTTGGGTTGGGCACTCCAGGGAGACTCTGGGGCTGGGCACTCCGGGGGTTGGGCACTCCAGGGAGACTCTGGGGTTGGGCACTCTGGGCACTCCAGGGAGACTCTGCAAGACTCTGGGGTTGGGCACTCCGGAGACACTGGGGTTGTCCAGGGAGACTCTGGGGTTGGGCACTCCAAGAACACTCTAGAGTTGGGCACTCCAGGGACACTTTGGGGTTGGGCACTCCAGGGATGAGCGAGGAGTAGACTGGGCGAGGAGAAGAGTTCCGGGCGAGGAGAAGGGTTGAGCTTAAAATCTAACAACCCCCACACCGAGGGTTGGGAATAATGCAAATATGGAAGGGTCTGCATTCGTATTTAAATCTTCACCGAACTAAATGATTTAAATGTGAATTCATTCGGGGAGGGGAAATATAATTTGCACACTTAAACAAATAAAATATTTTAAATAATGTAAATCCTGAAAGGGGGCCTAGCAGGGGTAATTAAATAATTTAAACTCTTTGACTTATCTGATTTCGCCCAGTTATCTGATTCCCCCCAGAAGGAGCCCCTCCCCCTCCCATTCGCTGCGGGGGCGAGCTGTGGGGAGGTGTCGGGGAGCTGCCGGCAGCTGTCGGGAGACGGGGGCACGTGTGGGGAGGCTCGAAATGATTTCTGGGGCTTTCACATCATGCGACACCCTGGTCTGAGTTTAAGCGCCTGCAGGTTTCTTAACAATTCTCCCGCTTAACCCAGCCCCCAACACCTTAAAACTCTCGAATTATTGTTTTTTGTGGATTGTGAGATTCAAACAGTGTCGAAGACTGGATGTCTTCTAGACTTAAGCCTTCGTTGGTGATCCGATCTTGCCTCTGGTTGTCTGACCTGTTTCCAGACAGCTATTTGGCACCAGCTACGTGACCGTCCCGGCCCCGATCGCCAAAAGTAGACTTAAGCATTCGCAGGGCTTGCCAATAAATCATTTGCATAGCAGGATATATTAACTAATTTTGAATAAATTGAGTCCTGAAAGGGCGTGCAAGGGGGGGCCTGGCCCCCTCCCGCAAAAGGGGAATTAAATAATGTTGCACCCGCAATATTCTAGGGGGCCGCTATTCTGAAAAGTTTTTCGGCTATTCAGGATCTGGACCCTTTGTTTTGGAGGTCCGCTATAATGAAAAGTTTTCGGGCCGTGACTGTTTTATTGAGGGTTTCAGGAAGGCATAAGCTTCTCGAGAAGGAGGGATACTTGAAGCCTGAAGCCTCGACCTGTCCAGGATCTCCGACAATCTTTTTTTTCAGGGCGCCTTTTCTTTATAAATTCCTTACTTAAAACTAGATGATTCGCGAATCATATCCGGAAAGGGGGTACCTTACGGAGGCCTCCGGACACACCTTAGTACCTTTGTTTGGGGGCCCGCTATAATGCAAGTCTCCCGGGGCCCGGGGCTCAGTCCTTCGGTTTTCAGGAAGGCATAAGCTTTCTCGAGAAGAAGGGATACTTGAAGCCTGAAGCCTCGACCTTTCCAGGGTCGGGGGGTAGCTTAGGGAGGCCTCCGGGCTCCGGACCCCTCCCCTGCCTGACTGTTTGGGTTTTTTTTTTATTCAGGGTCGCGACTGTTTGGGGGGGGGGGGGGGGGGGAGTTACATTATTGAAGCAGGTCCAACATTAATTCAGATAATTTAAGTCTGAAGGGGCCTTCACATTTAAGATATTGAATTCCCCAGAAGGAGGGAGCTGCCCCCTCCCCCACGTTTCAGGATTTAAACTATTTGGACTACTCACATTATTTAAACTTTTCAATTCTCCGCCCCCGCTACAAACAATTTAAAGCCACCCCCTTTCAGGATTGAAA